TAAAAGTAAACTTTGAAAATCAAAATCCAGAAATATGACATGATGATTCAATATTGGATCACAGTTCTTCTTTGTTGTTTTGTGTTTTATCCTTCCTCTGTTAATGCTGTTGAAGATTTAAAACACAACTATTTTTTCAGTATTGTCAATCATATGAAACCTTCTTGGTTGTTTAAACTGTATTTTTTTTTTCGTGGTACTGGGGTTTGAATCCAGGGGTTCAACTGCTGAGTCACCCCCAACCCCATCCTTTTTATTTTTTGATTGGAGACAGGGTCTCACTAAGCTGCCCAGACAGACACTGAGCTACCTCAGTCTCAAGTCAGGTCCTCCTAGCTAGTGCTAAAATGACAGGCATGCACCACCATGGCCAGCCTCAACTGTATTTTTTAAATTTAAGGATTTTTGTTTGTTTGCTTATTACTTTGGGAGGTGCATAGATCATTCTCAAAGCAAAAATGAATTTTATTCCATATTAGTATGGCAGTTTCCTTTCACACATAGGAATTATTTAATGTTCCCTAAGGAGTGGCAGCTGCTTGAGAAGAAAAATGATTTTTAATGGAAGGAGATAGGTGAAAATAAATGCTGTTTGCCACAGAACCACTAACTTTGTTTTAATGAGGTATACTTGCTTTTTTATGCTCAAGCTAATATTACTGCTGAGGGGGTCAGACAATTGAAATCCTTTTTTTTTTCATCTTTAGCATCATTTAAAGCTACTCTTGTAAATATGGACAGTAGAGACCTGTAAAACTTGATTTTTAAAAAACTGATGCAGAACTCAAAGTGGGGAGATCATGTTGGCTAGGTACCACATGTTGTTATTGTTGAATATGTGTACTGTGACCCAATTTTGTTTCTTTTTTTTTTTTTTTTTCCTCCGGTACCGGGAACTGAACTCACGACCTTGCGCTTGCCAGGCAGGCACTTTTGCCGCTGAGCTAAATCCCCAGCCCCTCCAATTTTGTTTCAATGGCAGCTTCAAGTTGCACATTCTACAAAAGATAAGTTTTAATTTTTAAATAAGCCTGTTATCTATAGTCAAGAAGTACAAGAATGCTAGGAATAAAATAACAATGCTAAAACTCTAGGTAGTATTAGGTGCGATACATACCAATGTCTGTTTGAGAACTTATGAAAGATCAAAAGTTTTTCCTTAAAGAGTAAAATATTGTGAGGGTACGTACCTATAATCTCAGCACTCTGGGAGGCTGAGACAGAAGGATCACAAGTTTGAGCCCAGCCTCGGCAACTTGGTCAAACATTGCCTTAAAATAAAAGATAAAATGATTAGGGATTTAGCTCAGTGTGAAGGCTGTGGATTCAGTCCCCAATACTGTAAAAAAAAAAAAAAAAAGAGAGAGAGAGAGAGATAGAAAGGTTAAGTATTAAAGGAGAGTTGTGATGAATGAGTCTATGGCCATGCTACCCTGAATGCACCCAATCTCGTCTAATGAATGAACTTCTGTTTAATGGTATAATGTTCTACATTCGACTCTAGAGCTTCTGAAAGACTCTGGAGCAGCCTTCTTTTGTTTGTAACCTCAAACTTGAAAGTAAATTCAAGCTACAAGAGGTTGTAGAAATTGAAATGATACCCAAAACCAGCAGGCTCATTCATATATACCTGGTTTACCTGCCTCAACCTGGTTGTTTGCTTTCTCATTTATTGCAGTCACTGTTTTGTCTCACTCATTCTTGGCCCTCCAGCCTCCACTCACTTGTTTATGTGAGACGTTTGGCAGTAAGTTAAATATGTGTTGTCACCTTGACTCCGAAATATGTGTGCGTGCACAATAGACAGTCTCTCAGAAAACCACAGAACAGTTATCAGCTCCACCAACTTATGTATTGCAGTACATCTTACATTTGAGTGCTGCCAATTGCCTGAATACTGTCCTTTGTAGTCTCCACCCAGTGGTGTCTGCTGCAGCGGTATTGTATTTATTTGCCATGTTAGCCTTTTTTAACATTGACATTTTTGAAGAATATGGTCTCTAACCTTTTATTTAAAAACAACAACATACCTGGCGTGGTGGCGCACGCCTGTAATCTCAGCACTTGGGAGGCTGAGGCAGGAGGATTGTTGAGAGTTTGAGATCATCCTGGGCTACAAAGTGAGCTCAAGGCCAGCCTGAACTGCACAGCGAGACCCTGTCTCAAAAAGACCAAAACAACAACAACAGCAAAAATACAATTCATCACCTTATGCTTATTGGACATTTGTTTGTGAGTAGATTCAGATGTGTGCAGTCTTAGCCGAAAGACCACCAAGGTGGTGTTGTGACCTCTGTCGGGTATCCCATCCATCACTCATTGATTGATAGTGTGAGTTTTAATCTGTCAGGATGTTGCCTGAGTTCTCCACCATGGAATTACTGTTCTGTTTTTAATTTCTTATAACTAATAAGCAGTCAATAGGGAGTTAAAGACCATGCAAAGATCCTATTCTTTGTCAGAATTTCTGCTTAGAATTAGCACCATTGCTGATTCTTGTCTGATCCAATCTTTATTGTGATAGTCACAAAATGCTCATTTTTCCAGCTCTAGCTCTCCCTTCTCCTCCTTTTATTACTTATTTTATTAGTTTTTTTTTTTTCATTGCTGTGGGCTCAAGAATTCCTATTTTTAAAATTCAGTTCTTAATTATTCTGGTGCTTAAATTGTCTCGGATTTGACTGGTAGCGTGCCGCATCGTTTTTGAGCTCATGCTTGCTTATTTTCTTTTTTTAATAATAAGATGTTCATCTTGTAACTATCGTTGTCCTGAAATCATTTCTCTGAGAAGCCGTGCTTTCTTTTGGTGAGAAATTAAAATCTAGGCCTTAAGTTTGAATGTATTATTTTAACAGCCACTGTAGAAACACAAGTGTATAAACATTACTAGACCTGATAAGTAGTTCCTTAGGTGTACAGTGGGCAATTTTTTGAGAACGTAATATTGTCTCAGCTTCAGTTACCACAAAAAGTAGAGTATTACTGAATAGGAAAATTCCTGTTAGTGAACTTTCACTGTCAAACTTTTCTTAGATTTCAAAGCAAAAACATACGTGAAGCCACCTCGAGCAGGGGGAGGAAAATGGCACACAGTGGCATAACTGTTCCCCTAAGTGCTGTGTTAGTACCGGTGCCCGATGTCTGCCCACGTGGAGAGAAGTGAAAGACAGGGACAGGAGGGGGCTCTGAGGTCATATTTACAGAACCTTAAACGTCCTCTAAAGGATTTGGAGTCTTAGGATTTGGAGTCTTTAGTAAGAAGAGAGCCATTGAAGATTTTTGAATAGTATCATAACAAGCTTAACTTTGAGTGTGATTAATCTAGAAGATAATTAGGGCTGAGGATATAGCTCAGTGGCATAAGCGCTTGCCTGGCAAGCCTGAGGTCATGAGTTCGATTCCCAGTACAAAAAAAAAAAAAAAAATAGAAGATAATTAGAGCTTAGATTGAGGAAATTTCCACTTAAGAACTGTGCAGAGGCTGTTCTAATAGTTCAGGCTAGAGATAGTATGGATGCGAAGTAGGATATGAAAGAAAGACGTGAATTAGAACAGTGATTTTGAGCCTGTGTTGCAGAACCCCAGGGTTTGGGACAAATGTAGGGGAAGGGGAGAGTGTGTGAGTTGAGGACCGAGTTAGAAGTGTGAGTCCTGGGTTAGGAATTTTCAAGGAAGGGGGTCTTTAAAGAAAGCATTCTACGCTTAACAACAAAAGTAGGTAAGGAAATTTTATTTTGAAGTTAAGACCATTATTTGTTGGGAGGTTGCTTTCTTTTTAACTTTACCTCCTTGGTGTTCCATTTTCCCAAAGTTTCGAGCCTGAGTGATCAGAACAATGCTTGTGTCATTGACTAAAGTGGATCAAACGTTTGTATTGTAAATGGCAAAGGTCAGTGTGTACTGAAACTCTTAGGAAACAAGATGTCCTTGGCCGGAAGTCTTGGAGTCATCCTGGACTCCTTGCTTTGACTCAGCCCGTCAGGGACAAAGCCTGCTGCTTGAGTTAGCGCAGCCCTCACCACCTGCGTCACCGTCACCGCTCTCAGCTCCTCTGTTGCCTTCTGCCCACTTCCTGCCCCCACCATCACCTCTCTGCCTGTTCTCTTTCCTTGCGGCTCATTAGTCATGAAGTGTAGCTCACACTTCCCCAAAAGTCTTTGCAAATCTGCTCCCCGATCAGCTCGGTTAACTCTCTACTGTTGAGGTCTTTGCCAGCAGGATGCACCCTGAGCTCTTTCTTGACGGTCCCCTCCCCACCATACCCCGTACACGTTCCACTCCTCTTTGTCTTGTTCTGGTTTTTCTCCGTGACACTTGTCACCTACCATACTCTGTCTTGCTTACCATGTTGTCTCCTGACATCAGTGTTTAAGCTCCACAAGAAGAGTAGTAGTTCATGTGTCCTGCCAGCTTCTCTCCTGGCCACCAGACCAGACTGTGCCTGGCACGTAGGTGGCCCTCCATAAGCCCTGTTCAGAGAGGGAAGGACAACCGAGAACGCAAACCAGCCCCTCAGCCTCGTTACCAGGCGTGTGGCCCTTAGCAGATTTGAGGACTACGGAAATGGGTGTGGGTTACTGCGTGGGTCAGCGTCTGCAGACCTGTGTTCCTGGGATCAGAGTCTGTGACAGTGATTGGCTTGGATAAAACAGCCCCCTCCCCATACTGCATATATCATCTGTGTACTAGAGAATCATACTTAGAACATTAATGGCTCTAAGACCTGCTGTAGTAACCTTCTTCCTGACCTCCATGGACTCCCAAACTCTTCTTGGTAGCTCACCTGTCATTATGAAATCTTGTTGGTCCTTGGCAGAATTTAAGAAAAACAGCACTAGTCTGTTATGTGTAGGTCCCAGGAGATTTGGCAGCTGTGAACTCCTTTTGGGTGATGAACTGTGGTGCTCAGAAGGAGGCTGGAGCTCAGCAGGCTCCAGCCTCCAGCTCTTAGCTAGTACTCTTAAAGTGACCGCCCTTGTCAAAGCTGCCTTCTGTTTTAGGTGTTTGGGAATAAGGTGATCATTCCTTCCCTGGATGGAGACCTCTTCCAGTGGGACCGAGACCGTGAGAGCATGGAAACCGTTCCTTTCACAGTCGAATCCCTGCTTGAGTCTTCTTACAAATTTGGAGATGATGTTGTTTTGGTTGGAGGAAAATCTCTCACTACATATGGACTCAGCGCCTACAGTGGAAAGGTGTGTAAAAACGTGTTTATATCAGGGAAATTTGAATAACTTGGGAGAGAGGAAAACTTCTTAAGCCATATTGTAAGTAGTTGAGTCTTAGTATAATTTTATCCTCAGGATAGCATTTGTTTTCATAACAGAACTGTGAGGGAGAAAGAGGAAACTAAAATCTGTGTAAGATAAGAATAAACAGCAGAGCCAAGAATAGCAGGAGGAAGAAAATTAATACGGTCTACTGTGTCAGGTACTTCTTTCTTTTTGTTTTTAAGACAGGGTCTTGCTGTATAGTTTAGACTGACCTTGAACTTACTATGGAACCCAGGCCGCCCTCAGACTCTCAGCAATCTTTCTGCCTCAGCCTCCTAAGTGCTGGGATTACAGGCATGTGCCACCACACCCAGCTTCAAAGAAGAATCTTTTGAATATGAAAAGTATTAGAAAGGGTTCAAGTTTTTAAAAATCAAATACCTTTGTTGTATGGAGTTCTGAGGCTGATTTTTTTTTTTAACTCACCTGGAATTTTAATGATAATATTGTTAGGGTACTGTAAGTGGTTCTGCATCCCTTTTTATATATTCCCTGGAAAAACCCCCAAATAAGACTCAAGTTGCCAAATCCTTAAAATCATTTCCTAAAATAAATATTTTTAGGACTTTCATGGTTCTAAATGATTCATTTTATGAATTGGTAATTTAACTGATACTTCTTATTACTTGGGTACCTCGCACATATTTCTGTAACTTTTAACTTTCAAGCGTTGTTGACACAGGCGTAACGCCTCTGATCTCCCACAACTTGAATCCCGCACTGATTTCAGTCTGTCTGTCTAGGTGAGATATATCTGTTCTGCCTTGGGCTGTCGCCGGTGGGACAGCGATGAAATGGAAGAGGAGGAGGACATCCTGCTCCTGCAGCGCACCCAGAAGACTGTCAGAGCTGTCGGGCCGCGGAGTGGCAACGAGAAGTGCGTATCCGAGAACGTCACCACCAGTGTTGTTTATAAGTACCCCTGAGGCCACAAGTCTTTAGGTTTTTCTTGGAGGAGATTTTGTAACTATTCTCCTGCCCTAAAAGAAAACTATTCCTTTAAGAGAAATGCAGACCCTAAATTAAAAATGGCTTCAAGGTTATTAAAAGCTGATCTAAACATCTTACCATATGCTTCAGGATGCAGTAACCAGGAGACCCACGGTTTGGTCGTAGGTTAATGTCATTTTTCATAGCAACCTTGATGATGGAAAGTTCTTCGCAGAAAGCTTTTAAAACAAAGTTAATATGTTTTCCTTAGGCTTCGACCTGATTAACTGTAGTTCTGCGTAGTAGGTATTTTTATAGTTCATCTCATTATCCAGATTTAGAATAATCATTTTACTCTTTCCTTAAAGCATTACAATCACTTATTTAACCTAATGCCCGTTTCCTTCTTCAGATAATGAGCCCGTTATGTAATTTCTATATTTAAGTATGTGATTAAAAATAAGATACACTGATTCTGTATTACGTGCCAGGTTTTTAAAACCTAACATCTAAGTTTTATATTGCATGTGGGGTAAAAATAACCTGTGATCCCATCTTTATCTTGTGAGAGTGAACCAGACTTTCAGATTTTGTCAAGTCTGATGCAGTGCAATTCAGTTAAATTTCCTGGAAACTTCTCAAACCCAGTTAATAACGTACCCTTTCTCTTTTCACCGGGCTCTGCGTAGGGCTTTGCCTCTGCCGACAGCCTACCCTTCTTTGTCCTGGTAGGGTTTGGCCACTACAGGGCCAGAAGTACGACTTAATTTGGAGTTGCCACAGTAGGAAGCGGGTAGGAGTCCGAGATCCGTGCTTCTTAAAAACGTGCTTTTTCAGTAGATGTCAGAATTCTCTGTTTATAGCCAGGTGACTTGACGTTGCTCTGCCCATAGTGGAGGGGTTTTTTGTTCACTAATTAGAGGAAACGTTGCTGCTTTATGGGTAGGGGCACTGAGAGTTAGGGAAGGGGAAATCCTCCGCACAGCTCACCAGTAGACATCTGACAGCGGGGCGGAAGTGCTCTGCCCTTCGGGCCGGGGATCCGGATCACACGGCCTCTTCTGGGCATGCTTTCTTAAGAATCTAAAGAGAGTGTATTCATCTGACCTTTTTCTTTGGTTCATTGGGATATACATTTCTCTGCACTTGAGTGAAATGTGCCCGAGTTGAGATAACACAGGTTCTGTGCCAGCTTCTTTTAAGGTAACTTTATTCTGTTTGAAGAAAATCATTCTTGTTTATCAGTGTGAATGTTTGTTAGGTTTTGAGCAAAAATCTGGACTCTTATCTGCTTCCGTCCACACCTCTCAGAACAGTTGTTTCTGAAGGCTCGGGGACAGGTCCCCTCGGCCCCCTTGTGGCGATAATCAGCACAGCATTCCTTCCCAGAAAGTTATGTTGACACTCTTTTTCTTACCGTGAAATGTTAATATTTGCTTCTACAGTCTAGAAGAGTTCTGTGCTGTTTGGCCTCTTTGTTTCAATGTAAATTTCTAAAACAAACCTTTGTAACTTTCAGGTGGAATTTCAGTGTCGGCCACTTTGAGCTTCGGTATATTCCAGACATGGAAACTAGATCCAGGTTTATTGAAAGCACCTTTCAGCCCAGTGGAAACAAAGAGGAGTCTAAAATTATTTCGGATGTGGAGGAGCAGGAAGCTACCATGCTGGACACGGTCATCAAAGTCTCAGTTGCTGATTGGAAAGTTATGGCGTTCAGTAAGAAGGGAGGACATCTGGAATGGGAATACCAGGTACCTCAGAGCACTGAGAGTTTACAAACACGTTTCCTTCTCTCCCAGTTTGTCCACATTTATTGGTGGAGGGAAATAGTTGCTGTGTTGGGTTCTTTTTTTTGAGACAGGCTCTCGCTGTACAGTTCAGGGTGGCCTTGAACTTGCTTATGTAGCCCAGGCTGGCCTTGAACTCACAGGGATCCTCCTGCCACAGCCTCCCGAGTGCTGGGATTACAGACACGTGTTACCATTCCCACCATAGATTCTTAATGTATTCTCTATGCCTTAAGAGATTTGTGATGTTGAAGTTTTATTTTTTAATTTTTTTATTTCCCTTTCTCTTACATGGTATTTTATGGGTTGAAACTACATAAATACTGTATTTAAAATCTGCTTATGATTTTTGTTTAGTTTTGTACTCCAATTGCATCTGCCTGGTTGCTTAGGGATGGAAAAGTCATCCCCATCAGTCTCTTCGATGATACAAGTTATGCATCTAATGAGGACGTTTTGGAAGATGAAGAAGACATCGTAGAAGCTGCCCGAGGAGCAACGGAGAGCAGTGTGTACTTGGGTGCGTGATTTCCCCTCCCTAGTGCAGTACACACTGTCATCTGGAGTTTATTCTCTGTTATTCCTTCCTGCATCTGTAGTGCCTGTTGTATTTACGACTCCTGAATGCATTTTCTGATTGGGGTTGCCCTTAAGATTTCTGTTCCTACTATTATTCCATTTGTCCAATTGTGAAATTTTTAATTAGTAGAGTATATTCTTTTTATCAGAGGCCTTTACTAGAAAGGCTTAGAAATGTTCCCATGGTAGAGTGTGACCTAAAAATTACTTACATATCCTCAAAGTCTACAGCTGTCTCTTACTTGTATTTGTATTCATATCTATATTAGTCTGCTGCCCTCTTAAAGATTGAGGTTTTTTTAAAAAATTATTTGGTACAACAGATCTGAAAAATAAAATTCTGGTGTGCTTCTGGGCAACTGAAAAAACTTTTAATATAATAAAATATTTAAAATCTTGAATTACATCATTTGTGTCATTAAGTTCTTGTAAAATTACGTTAGCTTAATTATGTGCTTCCCAATGAAAAGCAAGACTTTGAGAGAGTGTCACACATGTTCCATAAAAGTGTTTGACTGAATTGTTAACCATAGCTTGGGAGTATAAGTGTTTAGATAAACCTTAAGGAAGAAGTTACTGCAACATGCTAGCTAGCTAGCTAGCTATTTATTTAGTTGGTTAGTTTTTTTAGTTATTTAGTTAGTAAGTAAGTAAGTACTGGGAATTGAACTCAGGACCACACACTTGCCAGGCAGCCACTGCGCCCCTGAGTTATACCCCAGCCCCAAACATGCTATTTATTTTATGAGCCTACAGTGACTCAAACTTTTGAATTTTTCTATTGAAACAATTTTCCTGGCCAGGCATGGTGGCACATGCTATAGTCCCAGCATTCAGGAGGCTGAGGCAGGAGGATCACTGTGAGTCTAAGGCCAGCCTGGACTATGTAGTGAGACGATGAAACAGTTTTCCTGCCATTACTGAAAATGTGCTATTACTCAGTAAGAAGCATTGTCTCAGCCTGTTTGTACTTTTCCTCTTTTTTTCTTGATTAGCCAGTCATATTTGAGTGTGTCAGGCATCTTTCTTCTTTGAAAAGAGCTATGTGATGCTCAAAGAAATAGCTAATCTAATTTTATTAAATCAAAATGAACCTTTTAAAAGTATCACTGCATGATTGAAAATGTTCTGCTTGTTTCAGGAATGTACAGAGGCCAGCTGTACCTGCAGTCATCAGTCAGAATTTCAGAAAAGTTCCCCACAAACCCCAAGGCCTTGGAGTCTAGTGAAAATGCAATTATTCCTTTGCCAACCATCAAATGGAAGCCCTTAATTCGTAAGTGAATTATAGACATGGTGAATACTATCAAAATACTTAGAAACCTAATTCTGTCTTTACCCTAGTTTTCAACATTGTAGAGGTAAGCATTGTTACATGCTTATATCTTACCAGTAAAGTGGGAAGGTATTTCAGATGTTAATAATAAATTTTAATGTAACATTTAGAGCATTTATCCCTAGGAAAAGCAGTTGCTTCATAGAAATAAATGTTAGTAAACTATTTCTCTGTGCAACTTAGAAAAACTGTTAAGCATTCACTGACCACAGCAAAGTAACATTTAGCTCTTAACATATTTATTTAAGAATAAGTAAAAAATTAGCTGGTTATTGCATCATATACTTTTACACTTATGACCTCCTTTAAATACCTTCATATAGCTTTTTTTTGTACATGTCACATCATATCTTAGTTACTTCTGTAAATGACTCTGATTCTGTTTAAGACTGTAAACTGTGCAAGGGTAGGAACCTTGGGCCATTTGTTCGACTTATATCATTGCATTGAACTGTGGCTGGACATCAGTTGGTTCAGTGAATGAACACATGCATTTTTGTTAAGTGCTAACAGTTACTATTTTATCATTTTCTTTTAGATTCTCCTTCCAGAACTCCAGTGTTGGTAGGGTCTGATGAATTTGACAAATGTCTTAGTAACGATAAATATTCTCATGAAGAGTACAGTAATGGCGCACTTTCAATCTTACAGTACCCGTACGGTGAGTGTGATTACTCCTGGGTTAAACATGCTGAGCTCTAGGCCAGGCATGGCTGTGTATGCCTGGGAGACTGAGGCAGCAAGGTTGTGAGCTCAAGGCTAGCCCAGACTACACGGTGAAACCCTGTCTCTAAAAGAAAGAAGAAAGAAAATACAGAGTTTTATTTGTCTTATTCAGTTATTTGAATTTAATTAGCAGACTTTAGATGAAAGGAAATTGACTGGAACATCGGAAACCATTTTGGGAGGCAATGTTGTGAGGGGTGGCTAGCCACAGCCCCTCCAAAATCAGATTGCCAGAGTTCAGACCCCAGGTTTACCACGTACTAAGTTAAGTCCCTTTCCCTGTAAAACACGGATGGTCTTCTGGTATCTGTCCACTGGGTTCTGTGAGGTCTGAGGAATGCTTGTGAAGTCTCAGTCAGCATTGTGCCCTGCACTTGGTATCAGTAAACATTAGTTCTTGCTAGAAGTTCTTATTCAGTCGTCAACCTCCTTGTGCAGATGATAATAACCTGTATAATGACGAAAATCAACGTTACACTTAAAGCTACATAAAAATGCTGGAAAATTAGCTTATTTTCTTTCATCCTCAGATAAGAGAAATCAGTGCAAAAGTCAAGAATAGCTGAAATTTAACATGAAACATGTACATTGCTGTGTAGCAAGCAGAATTTTTTTTTTTTAGTCTTTTTGAGATGGGGTCTCTCTATGCAGTTCAGGCAGCGTTGAGTGCACTTTGTAGCCCAGGCCCGGCCTTGAACTTGCATCAGTCCTCCTGCTTGAGCCTCCCAAGTGCTGGGATTACAGGTGTGCACCCCCGTGCCTGGCTTAAGCAGAAATTTTGGAAAAGTGGGATGTATTCACATGTGAAAATCTGTTGACTATTTGGATGTTTAAAAAGTATTTAGATCTACATCAGTTACCAAGGTGATAGTACTGGAAAGTTATTATAGAACCTGAATCAATTAAAAACACACAGCACACACAGAAGTCTGTGAACTAGAAATAGACTTTATCGGCAGTTGATCAGGAGCCAAGGTGAGAGAGAATTCTGTAGTCTGCCCATGTGGAGGACCAAAGAGAAGACAGGAAAGACTGACTTCTGAAGCAAACCTATTTTGACAGCCTAAAAAGCATCCAAGAATACGGCGAGGGTGTTTTCTTGCAGCTCTAAAGAATGATTCATGGCTTGGGCATAGTGGCACAGCACTTGGGAGGCTGAGGCAGGAGGGTTGTTGTGAGTTGGAGACCAGCCTGGGCTACACAGAGAGACCCTGTCTCAAAAAAACCAAAAATTTAAAAAATTTTTAAAAAGATTGAATTAATTATTAATGAGGGAATGAATAAGGTAGCCCTTAATTTTTTTCTAGTTTTATTATTGAATACTTTGTATAAAGAAAATTTAAGGGCTGGGGATATAGCTCTGTGGCACAGCGCCTGCCTGGCAAGTGCAGGGTCCTGAGTTCAATTCCCAGTACCAAAAAAAAAAAAAAGATGCTATTTTAGAAAGGAAAATGTCTATACAAACAGGCAAAGAAGATGTTTGAAATGCATTAAAGAAGAGAAATAAGGAATTATTATTGTAAGACCTAGGGAAATAAATAATTGTAACAGTTAAAGATGGGCGTCTTTTGGTTTATCTTAAAACGCAAGCCTTTTTCATGTTTGTTTTTGAAGATAACGGTTATTACCTACCGTACTACAAGAGGGAGAGGAACAAGCGAAGCACACAGATCACAGTCAGATTCTTTGACAGCCCAAGTTACAAGAGTAACCGCAAAAAGGATCCTGTCCTCCTCTTGCACTGGTGGAAAGAAATAGTTGGAACCATTTTGTTTTGTATCATAGCGACAACTTTCATTGTGCGCAGACTATTCCATCCTCAGCCTCACAGAGTAAGACTTTTTAAAAAATCTAATGTTTTTCCAAGCCTTGGAGGTATAGAAGAGTCGTGATGTGGTGGGGCATGGGTAAATGGAAAACTCTAAATTTTGCTGTAATATTATTGCTACTTAAACAGTCACGCATTGCTCAGTGATAGGACCACATTGTGAGCAACGTCATTATGCAATTCCAGGACTGTACCAAGGTCGTGGAAGGTGCTTCACATATCCAAGTGATCTAGGCCACTGCACACCTAGGCCATTGGGATAGCTGCCCCTGCCCACCTGTCCAACATGTCACTGTAGGCAGCTGCAACATGATGGTGTTTGTGTATCTAAATATAGAAAAACACAGTAGAAATACCAGGCTGTGGGTACTTCTTCACTGCATTATAATCTTATGGGACCGTGTGTGTGTGTGTGTGTGTGTGTGTGTGTGTGTGTGTGTGAGAGCACATGTGCGCACGTGCTGTCATCACTGACCTGTCATTGTTTGAGGATGACTGTATTCCCATTGCCACCTCCTCGCCTCCCGTCACTGCTCAACCGTTGCCGACGGCATCGGTCCCCACCACTCTGCAGGAGCTGCTCCTCCTGAGCTCCTGCTCCTGCATGCTCTTTGTGTGAGATGTGATGGACACCTTCCAGCTCTGAGCTGACGGAGCCTCTCTGTGTGACGCTGTTGAGCACCTCCCTCGGACCTTTCCTGCCTGTCTGCCCTGCCTGTCTGCTCCCCTGGTCCCCTTGGGCGTTACATGGATCCTCAGGACCTCATCCTCCTCAGCTGCGCAGGTCCCAGCGGGGGATCGCGGGTGCACTCGTCCTGTCACTGCAGACTTCCCGACAGCCTCCCCGGCTTGCCTAGCTTCCGTCACGGTCTGAGCAGGTTCCAGTCCTTTGCCCTTCATCAGCTGTCTGGTAGGAGCTGTGTCCACGCCTCAGAGGAGCCGAGCCTGGACGGCGCTCCTCTGCCCGCTCCCATCCCGAGCGTGCTCCTGTGGGTTTTCTGCCCTCCCTGAAAGGCACTGCCAGACCCTGCCAGACCCAGTCCCCGGAGCAGGAGTCACAGTCTCCCTCTCCAGTCACCCATTCTGTCAGATTCTCCCACCTGTTTCCCCGCTTTTCCAGTTTCCTTTCCCTAGTGCAAATGCATCCCATCTCTCCCGAGTTACTAAAATCGCTTCCAGCTGGTCTCCATGTCCGCCCCTAACGATCGCTGTCTTTCCCTGCTGAAAACCCTTGGATAACAAGCTCCATTTCTCTGTTTTCCTGTTTTAGAGTAGAGTCCGTCCTTCTTAAAGCGTGCACAGCTCTGAATGAGTTGTGCTCCATCTCCCATTACTTGTCCTTCATTCATCCTTGTCCCTTCCTCCGCTCTTGCTGGGACTCAGCCTCCAGGCTGGATAGCTGCCAACCCCTCATGTGGGCCACACGTTTTTTTTTTTGCTGTTTTGAGACAGAATCTCACTGTGTAGCCCAGGCTGGCCTCAGAATCATAGCAGTCTTCCTGTCCCACCATCCTGAATGCTGGGATTACAGGTGTGCGCCACCACTCCCAGTTTAGATCACACTCCTTAAGGAGCCGATAGCGCCCATCCCGCTGACCTTGCCTCTGAACTTTGTTCCCCGGCTCTTCTCGCATCCCTCTCACATGATTGACTCCCGCGTGTCTTTAAGTTTGAAATTGGTTGTCGTGTCCTCAGGGAGATCTCCCTTAGCCGCCTCCTCTGCGTCAGAATAGCCTGTCCTCCCTTACTCACGTGGCTGATCAGATGCCGGTTTCTCTCTCTGCCTCTCCCCCGCACACCTCTAAGGACGGAGGCCAGTCTGTGGGTACCTCTGTCTCCCCAGTCCTTCCACAGTGCCTGGCCCATAGTCAGAGCCACTAAAGGTTTGTTGAAAGAATCTGTGACTACACACATGAAACACAGTTCTGTCTTAGACCAGAATAATTGCTCACATCCTCTAGAAAAGATACTGGTGAAGGTATCGGTGAAGAGGTATTGTGAATGAGACATTGCCAAATCCAATTCCCTGTTGGCAGAAGCATTTTTAAAGCATCTGCAGAATTATTTGGGGGAAAAAATTTCTCTAGTTTTGCCTAGAATTCTGAATTCCTACTTACTCGTATGGGCTTTCTCTTTCTAGCTATTTACGTATTATGCTTAGTCCGTACACACAACATACCCATAGAACAAAGAGACAAAATTCTAAGATTAAAGGAATAGCAGTGGGAAGATACACTTTTTGTTACATGTGATATAGAACAGAATGTTTTATGTTGTGGTTCTATAATGCTTTCATTTTTCTTAATAGTTTTATTTTTCATTGCTATATTATAATCAAAGATTATTGGCTAACTTTAATTCAGCTTTGTACTGGTAGTGATTTTGTTTTCTACTTTCTCAGCAAAGGAAGGAATCTGAAACTCAGTGTCAAACTGAAAATAAATATGATTCTGTAAGTGGTGAATCCAGTGACAGCAGTTGGAATGACATAAAAAGCTCTGAATATGTGTCACGGTAAGAGTCTTATGCAATATTGTAGCTTCCGTTTGCATTTCCATTATAGCAGCCATGTTTCATCAAAGAAATGACCTGTAAAATAAGTTCTTTTTAAATATGTGAACACCGGGGCTGGGGATTTAGCTCAGTGGCAAAGCGCCTGCCTGGCAAGTGCAAGGTCGTGAGTGCGGTTCCCTGTACCGGAGAAAAACCAAAGACAAAAAATAAATAAATAAATAAATATGTGAACATCTACATAAATAAAATAGCCCGAAACCTCAAGTAATTCAAATTTATTACTAATGATATGTACACTAAAAGGGATAAAAATAAAATGCCAGAAGAGTTTAGAATTTCAACCATCAAATTAAATTCCTATTTGTTTAACTTAATTATTTAGGATCTGCCACGTACTAAAGTTGTCTTTAATAATATCAAATAATAATTATTATATTTATTTAGAGTATGATATGTTCCTTAATACTCAGCTTTTTATTTCATCTTTTGTTCTGTTGGAATGGGAGATACGTGGAGAGGGGGAACTAGTAGAACAGATGATAGTTAAAAGCAGAAGAGAGAAATAAGTTAGCTAAAAGTAGGCAGTTCAAGTAATTTGAAAAATAAAAATTGAGCAACTGTTACTCTTTCTTAAGTATAAAATAAAATATCTCCTTTGATGCTGTGTGGTAGAGGAAAAGGTGTTACTGTTTATTTTTCATACTCGGATTATAGCTTTTTTGTTTGAATAGCATACTTCTTATCACTGTAGCAGTATCAGGGCAAGAAAAAGGCATGGCTTTTGCTGCCTAAGGTCGAAAGTACTGGTTTTCTGGGGCTGGGGATTTAGCTCAGTGGCAAAAGTGCCTGCCTGGCAAGCGCAAGGTCGTGAGTTCAGTTCCCGGTACCGGAGAAAAACCAAAAAAAAAAAAAAAAAAGAAAGTACTGGTTTTCTGATAGAAAAGACTGAAAATGATTGGTAGATGTGCAGATTAGTCGAGGCTGTCTGTCAAACCAGCTGCTTCAGGATGTCGGGGAACAGGTAAATTTCAGGAAAAAGCAGAATTTGCTAGGTGACAGACACATGGTGGGGGCCACTTTTGCACTTCCTTTGATGAAGATGCTCGTTCATACCTCCGTGGCCGTCAGGCAGCAGATGCTGAGACAGGAAGGAATGGAGGATTGAGGACTCCCTTCCATGTCCCCACCGAGGCCAGGCGTTGTTCCTCAGCCCCGACTCCGAGCAGCTGTGTGCGTGCGGGATTGTGTCTCAGTCCTCGAGGGAGACAGAAAGACGGGGCCTGTCCTGGGGAGGCTCAAAGTCTATGAGAGAAACAGCCATGAGGAAGAAAGCCATGCAGGAACAGTAAATCTGGCTGTGATGGTTTAAGAGGGCAGAGTTAATGAGATTACATTTGAGTCGAATCTTCGGGTGTGAAAGTTGGACAGTGGCAGTCAGTGAGGAGAGGGTGGCATGGTGAATACAAATAGGTTTGCAAGGCTGAGATCAAGAGAATTAGAGTACTGTGCTCTAAAATGGAACTAACCTTAAATCAACTTTTATAAGATTTCTATAAAAGCGCGACCTGATATTTATATGTGCCTGTCACACCCTAGGTACTATTATTAATAGTATGAACTCTGGGTTCAGTCATGAATCCAGATCCCAGCTTTGTCATTGGTCATCTGGGACCTGGGAGGAGATGGTGCTTGTGTGCACAAGGTCATAGTCACGGATCAGCTGTTACTCTTTTTAGAAGGTGTGATGTGGGAAGCAAATGCATTTGCCCTCCAGAAGTAAGACGGGAAATGTGTGACCTGCATTTAGCAGGGTGGATTTGTGCTGAGGTACCGTGACTAGCTATTTTTAGGAATACAGATTATTACTCTTCGTTCTTCGTGAAAATAATTGGCCCATGGAGGGTTGGGATCCATTGTTTCTCCTACTTCACTCCATACTCTGACCAGCTGAGGCAACTACTAAATTAGTATGAGTGCGCAAGTCACAGAGCGATACACTTACCCTGTGGTTGGAATAATTTCCATAGCATGCATGTGTGCGTTTATTAATTCACACACAGTTAGGCAACAGACATTTGTCAGACTTTTGATCTGGCAGGTAGTTCCCTGGTTCTCGGGATATAAAGAGAAATGAAAGTGTTGCAGAAAACAAACCAAACACAGGAAAAATGGCACTGAGAAGGGTTAGGAGGCAGTTTATTACACCAGTGGGCTTCTGACTAGGATTCCTCCTAAAGAGCCAGAGGCCCGCCCCAGGGCTTTAGGGCTTTTAGAGGGAAAGTAAGCAGGGAGATATACAAGCAAATTTATCGCGTATGATTGGTGGGTTGGGTGACATCATGAGTTGCTAAGGGAGTTCAGAAATTTCAGGTTACATCATAAGGCTATCAGTTATACAAAGCATGTGTTATACAGAGGAAGAAATCTTCTGTTACGTTTTAAGGCCATTAGCCCTAGTTATACAAAGGCAGTAAACACAGAGGTAATACAGAGGAACATTTGAAGTTATATTGTGAGGCCCCCATTACAAGCTCACACAAAGAAAGGAATGTCCTGTTACCAGGTTTGTCCAGACACGTTTGCTTCGTCTTGATTGGCATTCTGGCAGGCTTTTATTTAAAATGTTAACTACCCTTTCAGAAGTACTTACCGGTCCCCACAGGACAGTGTTGGTAGGACAAGCACACTGCATACAAATAACTGTAAAATACTGCGAATAAAACTAAATAGTTCCAAGTCCTGATGCACAGTGCTGCAGGAACCCTGAAACGTGGGTCCAGAGAGCTTTGCCAAGGTGGTGAGGGGAGAATAGGGTTCTGGAGTAGATCGGCGGGGAAGAGTGACACCCCGCGGGGCGAAGCACTGCACAGCCTGGAGCCTGCAGCTGAAGGCAGTGAGGCCGGCACCCCAGGAAGCAGGCTGCACCGTGCAGGTCCCGCTGCGCAGATGAGTCACTCGGTGTGCGCCTTTGGGATGAGCAGCTGACCCGGGTGGCAGCCCTGCCAGCGGCTGCTTTGCTTTCTAGAAGGACGTCTGGGTATAACAGTTGTGAAATATAATAGAATTGGTTAAGTTTTTTCAGAAAATTTGTTAGTAATGAAATAAGGTTGCATTTTTAATTGCATGCAAAATGCCGTAAAAAGTGAAAGGTTAAGAATATGGCATTTTGGTAGATAATAGGAAGAACTGGGTAGGACGAATTGCTGATCCAGTTACTATAACAACAACTGATTAACAAGTAATTCCCAATTGAATGAAATGTTTTAATTTTAGTTTTTTCCTGAGAAAACTTAATAGGTTTGCCCCATGTATACAAACAAGAACTAAGAATGTAATGAATTGGATTCAAAACACAGTCTTTATTAAAATAAGCTCTCCGAGTTTACTAAGTTTATACATTGCATGTATAATAATGTAAGATTAAACCAAGTATAAAACTATTAAAACTTTTCCTAAAGTACTGTTCTTCCCTTCTTTTAGATATCTAACAGATTTTGAACCAATTCAGTGCATGGGTCGCGGCGGCTTTGGAGTTGTCTTCGAAGCTAGAAACAAAGTAGATGACTGCAATTATGCTATCAAGAGGATCCGGCTGCCCAACAGGTAACGGGTAGTGCTTCAGTAAACTCAGAATTAGCACGAGATGCTCTAGTCCCATAGGCATGATGGCCTTCTTACACCTGTGCTCCCAGTCACCACAGTGAGCCTTGTTTTCAGCCTCCGGAATTCCAGGTTCTTAGTGCTGCTAAGTAACTTGGCTCTCTGAATGTTGTCCTATATATAGGTTACTTTGTATTAACTTGGCTCTCTAAATGTTGTTCTCTATATAGGTTACTTTGTATTTACTTTAAAAATACGATCTTGGGGGCTGGGGATTTAGCTCAGGGGCACAGCGCTTGGTCATGAGTTTGATTCCTGGTACTGGAAATAAACCAAAAAAAAAAAAAAAAAATACGATCTTGCTGGTCATGGTGGCACATGCCTGTAATCCCAGCATGTGGGTGGCTGAGGCAGGAGGATCATTGCGAGAGAGACCAGCCTGGGCTACAAAGTGAGCTCAAGGCCAGCCTGAATAGCAGGAAGACCCTGTCTCAAAAAGACAAAAATAAATAAATAAATAAATAAATTT